CAACAGTTATGAGCCCGGAAATGCGTTTGATGCCTTCTACTATCTAAGCGCATATCTACAAAACAATACTAACGTCTTAAGGCATCCAAGCGTCGTCTATACTCCTCGCTATTGAGGATACGTTTCCAGTCACACATCATCTAATAAGCAACACTTTGCTATTGTCTATTAGTATTGTTATTAATTATCAAGCTGAGCACTCTTTGCATTAAATATACGAATTCGGCTAGCGCTGATATTCTTAAGTTACCGTAGAAGCACCGTACCGACTCGCTGGCACGGTCGCATAAAATACTAAGTCGGTCCGACAACGCTATATAATCACGATGGCTTCCTCTAAGCTAATTATCGTCCTTAAATCCTTACACGAGTGGGAGGAATAGTACTTTATTGTCTAATCACGGGTAAAGAAGGCTAACGTCCTTAAGTTTATCGATCTAACCTAACCGACTCTTCCTAAATAACTAAAAAAGCCACCGAGGCTATTAGCCCCGGAAAACGACAGCTCTGTAGCTGAGCTTTCAGCTAAGAAGCTAGAATACGACTTCTACAAGGAGGATAGGAAAGAGTATGATCGCAATATTAAGGACATTAACGATATCTCTTCGCTTATCGAGGATTCGATTAGCTTCTCTCTACAGCTACTGCTACGGAACCTAGCGGATGCGCACCCGTATAATTAACTGCGTATACTATAGGCTCGGCTGCAGCCCTCACGCGATACATAATAAGACCTTCTGCTAAACTAGTTAAGGCAACTGGAGAAGCCGCTAACCAATCAGAATATCGATAGATAGCTTGCCTAATAGGAAGAGACCATCCTTAAAGCTCGAGCAGTCGACCTACCTAACGTTAGTAGTAAACAAGGCCTTAGGTTATTCCTCAGACCTCTCCTCCAGCATAACTCGCAGTACGCGGCTCTAATCTATTAAAGGCTTATTAACGAAGGGTCTCCCTATAATAAGGATATAATAGACCTTATCTCTAAGTATCGTAGATACACACAGCAGCTACGAGCGGTCACTAACCCTAAGATAACTCGGTCTACCTTCGCCGCCTTATTAAAGGGATAATAGCAGTCTAATAAACCACCACCTTGCCTATACGGCTACAACTACTAGTATGCTTAGTATTACTACCTAAACACTAAAGCTCGCCCTACCGGTTAGAAACCAAATAAGAAAGTTTAGAAGCAAGTCTAAAAGGCGCTTAGCAATCCAACAACAAAGGATAATATAGAAAGGGCTATCGCTAGATCGAAGAGTATAAACAAGCATAGATCGCAAGAAACCTCAACGGGCGAAAAAGACAAGGACGATAGCGGAACAGTAACCTCCTTTATAGCCGCTATTATCGCAATATCTTTTACAGCCTAAGGACTAACGCGACCTACTACTCTTAACCTCTTATAGATTACGGATACGGGTACTACCTATCACGTCTGTAACAAATTTATAAGTAAGCGTTTTACCAAAACACGCAGTACAGGCCTAGAGGATTTTATTCTCAGCGGGAATAGCGTCGTTCCGGTAGAATCATTTAGTACTATTACTATAGAGGCAAGCAGGAACAACAAGCGTAAGCCTATTATTTTAAGGGAGGTAGCATATATCCCTTCCTTCATAGGCAACCTTATCTCAATTAGCAAGGCAAACGAGAAAGATATCTATATAGATACTAGACGAATATACCTCTACAATAAGAGGGACAATAGTATTATCTATAACCTTACCTTCGCAGAGGGATATTTCTTCGCGGAATACTATTCTGCTAATACTACCTCGGCTTTAATTACTACTGCCTTAACTGCCCGTAACCTCCCTGCGGAGCAGTAGTACTCTATCTTCGTATATACAGGCTCGAATACTATTTAAGCTTTGCCTAACGCCGTATCTAGTATAAGTCTAAGTAGTAAGAACCTGCCTATCTACTACGATATCTACGCTAAAACCAAGGCTTATTAACAAATCTCCCGAACCACTAGTAATCACGAAGAAATATCCTTAGCTCTATTCTTTCGGGTCTCTCTAGACCTCATCCAAATAACTCCAGCTTTCAACCATCACGAGTAGATAACGCACCTTGATTGCGTATCTACTAAATACGTCCTCGCTAAAACTTATATCACTAAATCCGACTATAATATAATCGTCCTAGCAAAGCTTAACCAGATTCTAATTCGCTTTCACCAAACAACAGCCTTTCTTCACTCTAATAGAGAGCGTTCTTTTACGCAAGAACTAAAGCAGGAGATTCACCGAAGAGGAATTACGTAGGAGACTTCGTCACCATACACTCCTACTCAAAATAGACACGCCGAACGCTCCGGCTACTCTCTTATCCTTAAGGCAAGAGCACTTCGCATTGGAGCTAACCTTCCTAAACGTCTATAGCCAGAAACTATAAAGGCTATAGTATACATCTATAATCGGACGCCAATCCAACGTCTTAATTAGAAGACTCCTTTCGAACTAGTTTATAGAAAGAAACCCACTGCTAACTACTTGCGAGTATATAGCTACAAGGCCTACGCACTCGATAAGATAATACCGAAGAAGGAGAAGCTAAGAGCTAGAGTTCTTATTAGCTATTTAGTTAGATATAATTCTACTAACATCTTCCGCATCTAGTACCCGCTAGGGGACCGCATCCTACGAGTCCGAGATGTTACTTTTAATAAATTAACCCGCTATTCACTAGAAGACAAGGAAGAAGCACATAAGGTTCTAGAGGTAGAAGAGGAAGACGAACTATTAGAAGTAGTCCTAAGGATTCGGCTAAGTTTAGAAGGGTCGACTAAATCTAATAAATTATCAGCGGAGGATAAACCCGCCTATATAGTAGAACACATAACTGAATCACCCTTAGTATCACGTAACATAACTACCTAAGGCAGCCCTTCAAGGCGAATACCTCTATCCACCAACGCGCAAAACAAACGAGGGTAATTAATTACCCCTACACCATCATTAAGAGAACAAGGAACTCCCTAGCTAGTACAGGACGAGGACACCTTTACGTCCGCACCATTCTCGCTGGCAAGGAATCAAGAGCCTAAAATATTAGGGGGCGAAGAAGAGGAACCACCTCGCCGCCTAGGACGGCTTATTCCTACTTAGTACGAGACCGAACCTAATCCAGCAGCAGCTTTAGGAAATAGAGCTCCGAGAGGCTCTCAAATCAACGCAGATATTAATCCGAATCTTATTCTCGACGAACCCCGCAGTCGAAGACGATCAACTCGCCGTAATAAGTACGTTGCCATACTCAACAATAACTACTATAATAAGCAATCCTTTCAAGCTGCATTCCTAGCAGTACCAGCAATAAAACCGTAATCGTCACTTCCGTTAATACCGGATACTACACTCAGTAGTCCGCCACTATTACCGAGAATTCGCAGAGATAACCTACCACCAGAGCCCCAGTACTTTAAAGATATAGCAACTCATTCGCTACGAGAACACTTCCACTATACCATACTCAAGGAACTACAGGAAGTCCAGGGTAAGGGGGTGTAGACAGTAGCAGATTTTACTAAAGCCTAGTCACTTAACAAAGAGATAATCCCTCTTACCTAGGTCTTCAAGTACAAATTCGACGAACACGGCTACCTTACAAAGGTAAAGGCAAGGATCTGCGTGCGAGGCGACCTCCAGATAACGACTTAGGACACCTACGCCGCTACCCTAGCCTTCCGCATCTTCCGTGCCCTTATTACTATCATCTACGCCTTTAATCTCGAGACCAGGTAATATAATATAGTTAATGCCTTTCCCCACGTGCCACTAGAAAACGAAACCTTCTATGCTCCGCCTAAAGGTATAAAACTTCCACACGACCAAATCCTACAGCTAAAGCGCGCGCTGTACGGATTAAAAGAATCACCTACCTTATAGCAGAAGCATTTTTACAGAATACTACAGGATCTCGGCTTAGAAGCTGTCCCAGACGCTCCCTACCTTTATACTAACGAACATTTATTCGTTTTCTTCTTCGTTAACGATATCATCATAGCCTTCCACAAACAACACGAAAAGTTCGCCAACGCCTTTCAGGAAGACCTATTCCAGCGCTATAAGATAAGGATAATAGGAGAAGTCCAGTAGTTCCTTACTCTTCGGATAGTAAGAGATCGCGCTTAGCGACTTTTATAGCTCTCTCAAGAGTCATACATCTCCAGCATCATAGCTCGTTACAACGTTAAGGAAAATCTAAATACGCTAACGCCACTACCGGCTGATAAACAGTTGGTTCTAAACGAGGAGGACTACGCCACGCCGCAGGACGTTCATACGTATTAAAGTAAGATAGGCTTAGCTTAGTTTGCAGCCGTTAGCACGCGTGCGGATATTACCTACGCTTACTCTTCTCTCTCTACTTATTTAAGCAACCCCTCGCCGCGACACCAGCAGCTCGCTTAGCGCTTACTCGCCTACCTAGGCGCCACTCGCAAGCTAGCTATCTACTTTCAGGGATATACTCCCGAGCAGGCAGTCTTTACCATCAGCAGTAACGCATCATATAGCAACGACCTAGCCACGCGTCGTAGCCATTAGGGCTCACTAATCACACTATTTAGAGGGCCGGTCGATTGGAAATCCTCTAAACAACCCACAGTTACTACCTTAAGCACTAAGGCAGAGCTCCTTACTCTGTCAGACACGGCCAAGCAGTACTATTAGTGGAAGCGTTTCTTCCGAGGAATAGAGTTTAATCCTAGACACCACATTAAAATTCAGTACGACAACAAGCAAACTCTTCGCCTTATAGAAGAAAATATTACTAAGCTTATCACTAAGCTTAGACATATAGACATTCATCATCACTAGCTTCGCCAAGAAGCTTAGGCAGGAAACGTCAGCTTTCGTTAGACTCCGACAGCAGACACAATAGCCAATAGGCTAACTAAATCCCTTCCAAAACAAAGGCACCAAGCCTTTATCAAACAGCTCGGCCTAGTCCCTACGCCTGAATAAGACACAGTAGAAGATAACCACCTCAGATTGACTATTTCTTTATCTACATCAGCCACCATCTTTTTACTATCTTACCTTTCTCAATACTACAGCGTTTATCGCGTACTGCCTAAAGCGGCACTACGCGAAGGGGGTGTGTTGAAGTGTACGCAGTTTATATTGCTTTTTCTGTGGCTTAGTCATTTAGCACAGGGTATAAGAGGACTCCGCCTACCGGGCTCCTAACAAGATCATGCCACTCATTACTATCAATTGAAACCCCATTCATTGCAACAAGTTATAACATACATTTCCCAATCCCAGTAGTTCTTCAAGGCAGCAAAACCAACATTGTTCGGAAGTCATCCTATATTAAGGTAACTGCACTAGCAGAGGACCCAGTGGACTGCGGAGGATCATTAAAATTCATGTATCCGGTGGTCCCCACCAAATCATCCCCTGTCCTGTGGAACATGCCGCGGGTGGACATGGCAGCTCTTCCAACCCTTGACGTCCAGCAGAAGAAACGCATGCAGTGGCTCGTTCCGCATTGCACGCTTATGTTCTCAGAAAGAGAACGTCGTGCGATACAGGCATCGCTCTCATCTTCCCAAGCTGAAAGTGTCATAGACAGTAGGACGCGATTCAAGCAGGGACTGTTCTCGCTTTTCATACACCAAAGCGGCTTACAAGGCCAAAAAGCCGGTGTCTTCTTTCTCAACAACCCTTCCAATGGCGGCACCCACATCGTGGTTTTTGCGTCTGGCCTCAGGCTAGACGCTGCAAGCCGTACGGTAGTTCTGGATACAGCAGTACTGGTCCTGACCAGAGAAATCATGTCACACATTCTCGGCTTCATACAGGACCTTCATTCAAAAAAGTCTCCAGACATCGCGGCAATCAATATAGACGACGAAGAACTACAGCTCTGGAAGGAAACCCTCCCGGCTTTCGTCGAACGATGCAGGACCTGGAACCATCGCCCATCCTACGAGTACGTCAAGACATCGAAGGTCCCACTCTCCACTGCATATGGCGAAACGCCTCTCTGCTCCTGCGGAAATGGCAAGGGGCTCGATGATGTTGTTGCTAAATTTCCGGTTTTGAAAAAGGCGGCGAAGTTTGCGGTTAGGGCGGCTATCTCGCCTACGTTCGCGTCGTCGTTTGTGGAACAGCTTTTCCAGGGACAAGAAGCTCCGCCGACGGAGGGGAAGGCTCGTAAGTTCTTTCGGCTTCTTACTGATTGGTGGGGTCGGTGAGGGACAAAGCACCGTTGAGGCGAAGGGAAAAGATAGCTGTTAGTAGCTTAGAGATGGATAGATTGATAGGTAACGGCTACTTTCTTATGTTAACTAACGGACGATAGAAGCGGGACTCATGTAAAGGTCCGATAGAAAAATACACCTACCGTGGTTTGATTGTATACCGCTTCTTTTCTAGGACCTGAAAACGTCTATAAAGCCTTTAGGATAAGCATCTCTAACCACTACAGCAAGGTGGTAATGACATGCAGTAATTACTCACGGATACTTTACACATTAGTTAGCCTATCTCGCACGACCATCTCAACAAAGCTCACTATCGTGTGCCAGAAGACAGGCGCTTTGTACGACACGGTGCCGCTAGCGAGGAGCGGGGCGATCAGAAACCCTGCCTATACGTGTGTCAAGGCGAGAGAGTTGGTGCACTTACGTCTCCGCACAGCCTCTCCAATCACTAACATGACCACCGCCATGGCACGACATATCGCCAAATTCCAAATTAGTATCAACAAGAGGCGAAGTCATGACAAAGAGCTACATCGTATATACTAGAGAGAACAAAAAGGTTCAGATATGGATGAAGCTGGCGACTGAACAAAGAGGTATACAGACGACCTAAAAATTTCTCAGGTCTTTATGCTATTCTAATGCCGATAAAGATCAGTAGCACCATTTTTTAAGACTCTTCTCGCGACTACAAAAGCACCACTAAGATACCGCTCGCTTCTAATAACTTCGTAAGCCACAGTCGGTAGGATTTCATACGAGCTTGGTCTAGTCACTATCAGGGTGCCGAATCGTCCAGTCGGCGCCGGACGGTGGGCCGGACGAATCGTCCACCGTCCCTACCGTCCACTCGTTCAATTGGACGGTGAAGTGAGTCGTCCGGCTCCTTCGGACGGTTATCACGAGCCTTGGCATGGTGTTGAGGGGCAGTTATGCGAATGTGGCGTTATTCAGCGATATTTAGCTATCCACGGTCACGTGGCCTCTACCCTGCGCGGCAGGTGTTGGACGAAATAGGCCCGCTAGCGAATCAGGGCCCTGATCCAGCCAATCAGGGCCCTGATTCGACTAATTAGATACACACGGAATGGGCCGTGTTTGATTAGCCATATCAGGGCCCTGATATAGTGTTTAGTGGGACGTGCACCCGAATTGTATTAGATTTAGCAGTACTACGTGAGCACCTCCGCAAGGTTCGGCGAGTTAGTTTAATTCCTCGTTCCCCGCTGTTCCCCGCTATTTTACACCAATTTTTTCGGGGAATATCGGAGAAAGTGAAGACTACTAACTATCACGAACCTTATACAAGTCCGCCAAGGTATCTCAATCAATCGTCACCGCGCGCGAGCGCTGTTAGCCTGCTCACCCGCCCCGAACGCGTGATACCACCGTCCCGGGCCACCCTACTGCCTCGTCTTACGCGCCTACCGCGTCCTCGGCGTCCTCCGCGTCCCTCTATAGTAGTAGATACCTCTGCAGTAGCAGGTCCCTCTGCAGTAGCAGGTGCCTCTGCAGTAGAGGGTCCTCCTCCACGCCCGCCACGCCCGCCACGCCTACTACGCCTGCCACGTCCTCCGCGTGTTGCTCCGCGTGTTGCTCCGCCTGCAGCAGCAGTAGTAGCAGTAGAGGACTTACCCTGCTGCGGTTGATTCGAACACGGTGTGCCCCTATGGCAACTACCGGTACATTCAGTCCCCGCCCGGTGGTAGGCACACTTGTTGTTGGCACAGGCTCCTCTGCACCCGCAGCGAGCACTAATAACACCTATTGAAAGACCAGTCTTGCGAGCAACACTGCGTAGTGTTACTGAGCTGTTCGCTTCGGGTGTATCAAGCTGATCAGGACGTTGTGAGATATCTAGCAGGGTGAGCGAATGTGGAGGAAAACACCGAGATATGATGCCAAGAGGTGTTTTGACACGATACCCAGTGCCTACTGCTTCATGGATCACACCAATCACCGCCTGCATGGAGCCCTGGCGGTCCTCAGGAGGCACTGTTACTGCTACAATATCATCAACACTGAATGGTTGCGGTGGCGGGTGGCCCTGGTTAAATTGATAAACCATGTGGCCGCGGGACGTCTCCTGGCTCGTTCGAACCTGCTCATCAAGCTTAGTACGGTCCTAAACACGCGAGAGCCGTTGTTCAGTAAGCGTGTGTTGAGCGAGCGGAGGCTCACTAGCCGCGTGTTGAACGTGCGGAGGATGCTCAGGGGGTTGCTCAGGGGGTTGCTCAGAGGGTTGCTCCGCACGTTCAACCTACTCTGTCTGCTCCGCCTGCAGTTGTAGAGTACGCGTAGCGGCCTCCCGCAGGCGCTGTTCTCGCTGATCTGAAGCCTTCCTCTCTCTCTGTAGATAAGCGAATATCTCCTTGGCCCGCCGCCAGCGCTCGTCGGCATCAGGGTGCTGTAGCAGCTCTAGTTCAGCTGGCGGAGGGGAGACGCGGGTAGTAGGCGAAGATAGCGCGGGCGGGGGGCGAAGCAGTGTTTGCGGCGTCCCAGGGAGGGTCCCAATCAGTGAAGTACTGCGAGGCAGCGGGGCCCCGCGAGGCAGCGGGGCACGCGGAGGAGGGCCCTGGGAGGCACGCGGAGCGACCCGGGGCGGGGTATCATGCGTCAGATCGATCGTTTCAACAGTCGTATTTCGGGCGCGAGACCGCACGAGCGTCGAAGGTAGCGGCAGGTCCGACGAGGACGAAGAGAGGTTCGGGGCTTCTTCGGAGGGCGGTATTTGGCGGGGTCTTAGCGGAAAATTGGAACTACGGGTACCCGCGGGGTCTCCAGTCGAACCTGCTACAACCTCCGCAGCTCCCGCAGCGCGCTCGTTCGCTCGCTCGTTCGCACGCTCGTTCGCACGCGGGCCAGCGCTCGTTCGCGAACTTTCGCCCGCCTCGTCCGCTCACCCGCGGGCCCTCCCGCGCTCTCTCTCCGCAGTACCCTCCGCGTCCTCCTCCTGCTCGTCATCTGCGTCCTCATCGGCTAAGTCCTCTAGCTCTATAAGCTCTCGGGGGGAGGCATTAACACGTGCCTCAGGAGGCATAAGACGTCGTCGTCCTACCCACATTTCGCGGCCGAAGAGTACTCTAAATGGTGAAGCGCCACATGCCCTTCGCCAGTAGCTATTCTGCTGTAGTGTAACGTCTAGGCAGGCGTGGGCGAAGCCGGGGTGGCCATATGCGATTCGGGCCCTCTTAAGCTTCCTTTTTACATCTCTATTCGCACTCTCAACACCCCCCTAGCTCTGTGGGTGGCGAGGACGTCCATATACAAGGTCGATCCCGTAGTCGTCGAATAGCTATTAAACAACACCACGGAACTCAGTACCGTTATCAGTGTGTATTTACTTTAGCAAGCCGAATGGTTATATCCAGCGTAGCAGTCCTACAGCTACTACTCGAGCGCTCTTATCCTTCAGGGGTATCAACATGCAGTACTTGGAGTAGTGGTCCCTAATATATAGTACATATTTATCCTGCGTTACTAGATCGGGGTGGTTCCTATAGTCAATCAGATCCATTTATACCCTCTCAAACACCTCTCTCGAGATAATTAGACGTAGGGCCCGCGGAGCAGGCGGAGGTTGCCTGGTTACAGCACAGACGCGGCAGAGACGAAGTAGCCACTTTATATCAGCGCCAGTAAGGCCGTAGTACTACGGCTGTATATCCTTAAACGTAACTTCTTTTGCTACAACACCATATCAGTATAAATATCAGTAGCTATAGAATAGTAAACGCACCTAAATGGCCGTTACTGAGATGAACGTCTCGAATGACGTTAAACACCTTATACGTCCTTAACACCTTCCTCTCTCCATGGTTCTGCGTAGGCCTCCTATAGAGGCCTGATTTACCACCTTCTCCGTTATAGTACCGATATCTGTTGAAGGTTTTACGCCGTTTCTCCTCCTCATCACCTACTGGGTGCCTCCCAAGGAACCATAAGCTGTATTCATGATACTTTCCGTCACTAAAGTGATAGCGCTCAGGGGCAGCCTCAATATACGCATTGAACGAAGTTCTTACGGCATCACTAAACGCTGGCACAGCTCGTTGAAGGTTGAGAGGACGCGGGGGTAGAGGGACAACGTTATTAGCAGTAGGAGGACGTTCAGCAGCAGGGCGCTGAGCAGCAGCAGGGCGCTCAGCAGCAGCAGGGCGCTCAGCAGCGCGCGCGGGGTTGGCGGGGGACGGAGAAGACATGATTTGATTGAAGTGAATAAGTGCTTGGTAAACTGAAGAATTCGTTGAAGCTCACTAACCTACTGGTGCATTCTTAAGCCCGTTTTATAGGCGAAAAACGGCCTCCTACGATGCACGAACGCGTGTTTAGTCTTTTGCTTTTTCACAGTTAAACCAGGCTTCATATAAACGCTTCATATAAACAGATAAACAGGCGGGCCTACGCACCGCTGTAGGCGCGGGATACAGCTGCAGGCGCGGGTCGGTGTTGATGCCTTTATATGGCGGGGACAAGGATCGTTTCAGGGGGTCGAGTCAGTAGGGACACGCGAATCACGCCACAACACCAAATCAGGGCCCTAATATGGCCAATCAAACACGGCCCATTCCGTGCGTGTCTAATTAGTCGAATCAGGGCCCTGATTGGCTGGATCAGGGCCCTGATTCGCTGGCGGGCCTGTTTCGTCCAACACTTCCACGCATGTTGAGTTCTCCGAAAGATCGACAAATCCAAGTGATATCGCATTTCTCCTGCACCTATGTCTCTACCAGAGCCTCTATTCTAATTACAAGGACTCTACGTATATAGCCAGTCTCGTATGCCTATGACTCCGCCTATCGCCATCTTGACAGAATTAATTAAACTACTTAGGCATGTGCTGGCCCAGAATCTCCTCCTAGAACCACGGTCTGTAGACCTACTCTACCTACTGTACGAGGCGCTTCAGGACGGCTAGTAACAAGTAGATGCTACGAATCGTCTTCGTGTCTCTAAGGAACTATCTGTTGTACCAGTCCTATGCCAGGAAAGTCAGCACGACTTTGGAAAAAAAGAGTGTTTGAACTTACGACTGTGGAATGTTCGTTGTATACTGCCTAGTACAGGTACTAGTCTGTGCCGAAAACTAGCAGCTGCGGCATCGGAGTGAATGCTGGGCGTCTTGGGTACGCTAGCGTTTTAAGATGCTTGAAGCCTGCGGCGACCTAGATGGTTAGCTGTATGAGTGCCTCCTCCTTTATACTAGTATGCGCCTTGGCCACGATGTTGAGTGTAATGGGATGGACTTTTAATGTATTGTAGTAAGTCTGGTTGATACTCTCGTGCGGTAGGGATCGTTTAGTAAATAGGTGAGTGATTTCGTCGAGAAGTTAGACATCGTTGTTGCTCTTAAGAATAATGGAGTAGTTTACGGTCCTTGATTCGGCTTAGAACTCGCCTATATACGGGATGAGGTGGTAAGGGAATATTGAGGCGCCGGAGCTATATAGAGTGAGTATATATACGAATAACCTTGCGGTTGCGAGAGACTTATATATTGCGAAAAGAGATGTTCTTGTTCTCCTTAAGTGTAAGGCGAAGCACGCGATAGTGGACTGCCTTATTCTAGTCGGCCTTAATGGTGGAGTCGATCCAGCAGCGCTGGGTATCCTATACGATCTTGTTAGTCTCCGCGAGACTAGATAATAGACATTGCTTATCGAGTCCGACGTTAGTGAGGTTGTATTCTTGGAGAGGGGGGATATTGGAGTTAGCTTGCTGGATCTTATCCTACGAATTGTTAGATCGGCTTAGAAATAGGGTGTGGACCTTATATACTGCGATGAGATGAGGCACGTAGCCTATGTTGTATTTTATAAAGGTTATATCTACTAATACCGGAGAATACCGGAGACGTGATATTGTCTAGGGACGTACTGTCGATATGTTGATTCGAGTATAACTTCTCGACCTCCGTGTTTACTGTGGCTAGGACGTGAGGTGCTACTTTTCCTAGGTAATCCCAGCTTTGTGACTGGTGCGTCGATGTCCTGCTGCGGGCCGCTATGACGTTAGCCGAGCTCTGTAATGTAGTACAAAGTATGTCTGTCGGTTCCGGTTCCTGGCTGGGAGTTGGTAATGGGAAGGAAGCTTGCCGAATTTGGAGCTTAACAATAGAGTGGTAGACGGGTTGGAGCGACGGTGATGGCTCTTCGCTTGAGCTGGTGGGAGGTGGTATTGATGGAAAAACAAGATCTAGGAAGCCCTGCGTGGAGGCGCGAAAGACCCGAAGGCTAGCGCTGTGACGGGTTCGTGTTTTGGAGCTCGGGAGCAATGAGGTAGAAGTGGAGTTGGTTGTGGACCAAGCGACGAGCGTCGCAGCGAGAGATGGCGCCGCGCCGCTGCTGACTCAGCGAGACTAGCTACATTCGGCAAACACTCTCTACCTTCACGATAGTCCCGGTTTCTTAGGCTCTATTCATCGATAAACCCCTTCACACGCGCATTTGCAATGACCCGCTAAATCCCTATGCGGAGGAAGTAGACCCATATAGTTCCCGTGAATTGGATTTGATAAATCGAATGGGAAGTTCCCTCTGCAACTGAATAAGATCCTCATGCTCTGTCAATGAAGCCTCTCGGTCATGCGACAAAGAACTTCGCGATGCACTCTCGCGACACTACGTATGTGAGCGACAAGCTCAGCGGTATGGGTGGCTCTTTTGCGCTAGCCCATCGGCAACGAAACAAATCCATTGACTCCAGCTCTCCTGCCTGCGCCGCAACCACCTCCGCCCGCCGACATGCAACCGCGCGAGACCACAGCATCCACATTGGGCCGCAACACAACATCATCCACATCGGGAGCCCCGGCCCGGACCAGGCCGAAAGCTCGTCACACTTAGAGATCCTTCAGACGTTCGAAGTTGTGCGAGAAGAGCCTAACCGTTTCGGGAAGCCTGCAGGGCGTTTGTGCGATGTCGGACACAAACTCGCCGCTCCGCATCATCAACATGGCAAAAGGCCGCGGCTGCTGGTGAGAGCCGCTTTGCAGTGGTATGACGCCGTGGGACTTGCCTGCTGTCGCCAGTTCGTCGGCGACCCAAGGCGGCAAAGCGGCGCTGCGGCGCACACGGCCGCGTTTCCGCGCAAAGGCGTTGCCGGCAGCACCCCCGATGCATGGAACGCGACAAAGTGCTTCACATGGGAGTAATGACATGTGAGCCGCCGTATGGTTGTCAGACGTATGGTGTTGGTTGGGTTGCGTAAGAAATTGAGAAGTGTGAAGGTTTTCGGGCTTGTCGGGCGAGCTGCTGCTTGTCCGTTATCCGGAAACTAAATCGCAACCCTCTTTTTTTTTGTCCTTGGAAATTAATCGGCTGCGTTGTCCAGAAAAGTGCTAAGTAAGATAAAGATTTCTCGCGCTTTATGCTAGTCTTTGAAGACGCGATTTCTTTATTAAAACAATATGCTGTTGAGGCAATGCTGAAGATGAAAGAAATGGTTACTACGGTAACCTCTCGTCTTCTCGAGAATATTCCCCTTCCATGTCGCCAAGTTTCCTCCAAACACGCATTTCACTTGGCCCCAAATTGCTTGTTTGAAGAGAAGACATGGACAAGATCCAATCGTCGGGGAAGTACTGTCGTAAATCAGTCGTCCTGGTAGGACTAGTAGCAAGGAGCTTGAAAGTCGCCTCGATGCCTGGATCCGCAATCATTTGCGAGAAGTAGTTGAAAGCCAGGTGCATGCCATCCAAGAATTCCTCCCGCTCGTAGTAGACAATGCCATCAATCAGGCAGAACAGTGTCGCACTCCGCGGCAGTTGCCGCACAAGGTAAACGAACAAACAGCAGAGTTCCTGGAAGTTGCCCTCCTGGATCCTATTTTGCTGGTAGGGCAGGTCTCTCAGGTTGAACTCGTGCTGGGATAGGAGCTGTGCAACCAAGCTCTTGATCATTGCCGTGCAACTTGCAAACGGATCGTCGTCGTCGTGATGGCTTCCGCAGAAGAACACGAGCGAAATGAAGCGCGCTTGTGTGCGGAAAGCTTCAATCAAGGTGCAGCATAACAGCGACAAGGCCGACACGTTCTGATTCCGCATCTCAAAGTTACCGTGGACGAGCAGGCTCGCAGAGGTCTGAGATGCTATCCAGCCCTTGAACTTGTGATTGTTGACTATCTGCTCTGCGCGTGACCGTTCCGTTGTTTTCAGTTGCCATTTTCTCTCGGTGATGTGTAGCATGTCGGTATCTGCAAGATCTGGAATGCCGAGGCACCGCAAAAGGGTATCTTTGCTGATCGGATACCCAGAGTTTGGTCCAGGAGACGGCGCTCGAGATCGCAGCTGTTGGTTTTCTTTATATAAGGCCAAGGCCATGCGTTCAATATAGTCTGCTTGAGGTTAGCTATGTAAGTGCGTAATCATAGGAATCGTGTCTATTGTATCACCTTTTTTGGCACTGTAATCATCGAGCAGAGGTTTGATCAGATTCAAAACGTCAGTTGAAACTACAGGTTTTGCAGTAGTAGTTAGTGTTGGCCGACACAACTTGTTTTTTTCTGGACGGTATATCACGTACGCTGGTATATATTCTCCATGGCCTGTTTTGATCCGTACATATTTGAAAGATCAGCCTCTTCCATTAGGGTTTTGCTGCAGCTTTGTATATTACTGAGACTATTACGCAATTCGCTTGCGTATTGTTTGTTTTGGATGATTGCAGCCATGCCACGAATAACTAAAATTGTATTAGTTGCATCCAAAATCAAAATCAGATGCGTTTATTCCAAATTAATGAAATAACAAAATAAGTTCTTACCTGTCCTCTTGGTGAAGAAACCAATTGCAAGCTCAATTGCATTGAATACGGCGACAATGAGGTTTATTGAGGCCTTTCTAATATTTTCGTCGAGCATAAAGATGGCGGTCAAAGTTTCAATCCTCGATAACGGTTGGTGCAAATCACTGAATCCCTGAATAACCTCTTCTCGTGCCTCAGATGCGATTTCAAAAGCCTATTGAAGTTAGCAGTATTCACAGAAAAATCTTCCTTCTCGCTGTGAATATTTTCTAACCTCAAGTACAATCTTGACAGCCTCCGTGACGGGCTTAGCAAGCTCGTCCGGAACGAGGTTGACAGCTTGTTTGATCGCATGCGAATGTCTTCCAAATGCTCTGTAAACTTTCCTTGGGAAATTCTTGAGACCTTCCTCTGAGACATATTGGTTTTGGGAAGCGTCTAGTTGAGCGTAGACTTCATCCCAACTTGTCTTTTTCCTAATGCCATAATCTTGAACATTCTTTTGTTTGTTGGTGCCCTTGTCCTTCGGCGTAGATGTCGCCGATGTAGTAATACCTCGAGGAAACTCATTCTCGAATTGGCTCATAGCATCATTGAAAATGTCATCCCAAAAGTCCATTGAATTTACGTCGTCCGCTGTCGTTGGCCTGGGAACGAAAGGCCCGCCTGGACAGCCAACCGACGCTGTAGATGAATAGTGTCCTTGCATCGTTGTAAGTGTGTCAACAGAGACGTAGCTGTTGGCGACTGGGCTGTACTGCGATTGGGGATTTACAAAAGCCGGATGGTACTTTTGGAGGCGGTTGTCTATGAAGTCAACAGCAGGTGACTGAAGCAAGATTTTTGGGACTCTGGAACTGTAGCGGTCCATTTGGTAGAAATGGAGTGGAAGATGATGGGTTTTAGGAAAAAAGAAAGGCGGATGGGGATGACCTGGAGTCAAAATCCGTTTGGGTGCTGGGGGATCAATAAAATTCTTTCAGTGTCGTCAAAGTGTCTTGCAATGATCCAAACATCCTACGCAATCAATCCAGAAGACAGTTTCCGACACGCGGATCATGCGACTCATGATCCACCTGAGAGGGTGCATACAGAAGAGCTTCGGCTGATCAAACAAAAGCTTGCCACGTTGGCCGTCCGTTACCTGCAACTGGGATTAGACGGGTCGATTGGGCAGCATCCGCATGGATTGCAAAAAATTGTTCAGCCTGATGCTTGGGTAGCTGAAGAGATATGCAACATGCAACGAATCCGGTCATTTTTGCCGAGGCATGTGAAACATTTGCTAGCTTATGCATATGTTCAGCTCTTGGTGTTGCCGGAAAACTTGATGCGTGGCAGCGCCATAACTCACAGGAAACTAGATCGGAGAGGTCCACGTTCAGTCACATGTACGTTCGGTGAAGCCGATTGGGGCTCACGAAAATGTTGTCCGTATCTGCATAGAGCGAAATCCACCACAAAGCAGATCATTTTTTAAGATACAAGCATCTGCTAGCCGACCAACTGAATCGATAGAGAAGCTCGACACCGCTGGTACATAACGCAGATACGAAGGGGCAATTGCATATTGCAGATACGAAGTACCTGGATCCTCAGCCGATGTAACACATTTCTTATCGGGGTCTTTTACGCTTGGAAATGTGTCCATAGTCTCGCTTTATGGCAAGATAAACTAAAATAGGAACGGTGAACGTTATAAGAGGGAACAGTAGCTCGGTAATATGACCCGTCTACCACAACAAATCCGATTCCTATCCTCTAAAGACCACAGCACGTATACACCTGCATTAAACTTCATCGAATCTAAACCAATGGGTATGTTTGCAACACTCAATCGTTTTAAAACATCTTATGCTGACGGGCCAGCGTCACGTCCAGCACCGACAACGCCAGAAGCATGTTCCGGAGATGGGCAAGAGGTACCCGAAACCGAACACGACGTTCCATGTGACCCCATGCAAGTTCCTCTGCCGATCGATAGAGTCGTTATCGATGAAAACGATAACGGTGGCGAATCAATCGAGGGAGATGCAACCGAAAACTTTTACGATCCAAATGGTGGAGAGGACGCTCCTCCAGCAGAGACTGCGTCCGTCGAAGACCAGCAAACTATCGATGACTTAAACGGTTCGGACAGCCTCTCTTCCAAGCTCATCGCCGATGTTCGGGCTTTGAGAGAGAAGGTCTCAAGTGTCGAATGGCAAGCAAATTCGAGGCCCAGTGTCGCAAAACTGGAAGCTGAATGGGAGGATGCTCGCAATGCTTTGGGCGCCGATCAGGAACAAAAAGAGTGGGAACAAATCATGAAAGGGGCGACGTGTGATGAGGAATGTGAAAAGACAAGCAGTGCTTACCCATACGGTGACGCTTTCTTTCGGAACATTTCAGAAGATCCGTTCTACAAGGAAGATGTCTTGAAATCTCGGAGATTATGGGAACGCAGACATTTCAAAGAGTTTGTTCAAGACCCAGCCGAACTTGAGTTTCCGAGATTAGCCCGTCGTTTCCGTTATTCCTTCTTTACCAGGGAAGACCGTAGACGAGATCAAGACAGCGACTCCGAAGGGTCAATGGACTTCGAGCTCGGGCTAGAAAATCTGCACACAAGATACATGCAGAAAATGGAACGTCTTCTCCACAAGAGAACGGTCAGCATCCACCGGAAAGCACTTCAGGCGGAGCGGCGGCAAGCGCACGACGAAGACAAGAGAAATCTACTCCGCTATCGTCGAGAACGCAAAGACCTTAAGGAAAGTTCCGCAAACGGCGAAAGTAATGCGGGAAATATTGAAAAGGTGGAAGTACCAGCACCCAAGGATGCCGCACCAGAGCTCAATCCGTTGGAATGGTCAGACTTTAAAAGACTTCGGGAGGTCTCCGAAGCCGAATCTTTTGCTATTGATATCTTGCTCGGAGAACCTAAGATCGATTTCGGTCTTCCTAGTTACTCGAAAGCTGGACTTCGAGAGACTTTGCGTGGAAAACAATTGAATGAAAAGCAACACGAAAAGAAGGCCACCGGCAAACAAACAGCAATGCTAACCGGACAAGCGCCTCTTCCCGAACGTATACGAATACATTCAAGGCAGCTACTTCGAATACTTGAAAAAATCCACGGATCGGAAATTAGCACGAGGCAGCCGCTGGTGATTCTCCGACCGTTTAAAGTCTTGGTGTACTACGACCAACAACTTCGAGAGAGATACGAAAGACTGTCGGCCAAATTTCCCTCATTACATAGTCCCGACTGCATCAACGACAGACCCAGCAGCAGTACGACCACAGAAGACACTATCACTCAATCGAGGAAAGACTATGGCACCCCTTCTGAACTCAAACAGCATGAAAGTGAAAAGAAGAAGCAGGAAGAGAAAACCGTTCAGACTACGGGCGATGACGATAGGGATCAACCTGAAGCGGACGAGACAGACGACGATTCAACCTCGTCAACAGCATTGGAGCATTTGGGTTGCTTACTGAAATTCATGAATTCCGATATATCCAACAAACTGGCATACCTATCTGGAACAGAGTGTCAGAAAATCTTCTTCTCCGATGTTTGGCATCTCTTCAAGCCTGGAGATGAAGTCATTGGAAGCGATGGAAGGCAAGCATACAGAGTGATTAGCGTCACCAGCGCTAAGCACAAAGTCTTCCCTCCAGGCAACTATTGGATGAGGCCAAGAAAGTCCTCCAAATCTGACGAAGAAACGCCCATTACAATCGACTGCGTATACGTTGATTTCGATGGTAAGAAGTTCGGTCCTGTTCGTAAGACTTTCCAAATCAAAAGATTTGACGGCGAAAAAGCCGTCACGTTTCTGGAAGTATATCCGCTTCGATTCCACGCCACTAAGAGAGGGGAGATGACAAGAAACAACGACCAGGGCCTGAAACTTCGTGAGGAACTTATTTACCGAGGACAGAAGTTCCTAGAAGTAGCTGCAGTGAAGCACATGTACTACTCTGGGCCTGCTCTTCAGACAAGAGACGAAATCGAAAGTCAGGTCGTAATTGATTTTGAAACAGCGTTCTCAGCAGAAGAGAACCGGGAAAAGGAGTGGAAACCGAATATTGTGGAGATGTTTGCTACGGAACCGAAAGAGACCGATGAAGACGAGTCGTGCCAAGCAGAATGTTGCAGGTATGAAGAGGTCCATGACGATGCCTATGTGGAAAAGAAACGCAACGAGGAGTATTTGGCAAGCTTGGTTCCCGAAAGCCGCGAGAAACTACCCTCTGTGGCAGTTTACCCTCGATCTCTACATGCTACAAACACACCAGACAACCAACTGACGGAAGAAGACTTCGTTATCATGTCTTACCGGGTTTTTGGATTTATCTTGCGGAGTCGCAAATGGGGTAAGTACTTTTTAACGTCTACGACATGTAAGGAAATCTTTTCTAATATTTGCCCTCAGAGCAGTTAGACCTCACCCACCTTAGCGAAATTAACAGTCGCAGTGACGTGAAAGGGCAGACAGGTCAACCTCCAACTGCCTTTGATAATCTGGTTCTCCCAGAGGGGCACAAGAACATGGTGGAGTCTCTAATCTTACAGCATTTCCGAGACAAGGAATCGTTGAGAGGCCAGAGTTATCGCTCCGACATTGTGCGCGGAAAAGGTATACTAAGCCCCGGGAGTGGAAAATAAAAGTCTATGGCTAACTTCTGATTAAGGAAAGGGCCTGATTTTACTTCTACATGGAGCTCCTGGTGTAGGAAAAACAACTACGGCTGGTGGGTGTTTCCGAATTTATCCCTCGGATTTCCCATACCCATTAAATGCTAACCATTTCGACATTAGAGGGTGTTGCGGAGAAGTTCCAAAAGCCGCTGTTCCAGATCACATGCGGTTAGTAAACTCTATATGTTCATGACGCCCGTCAAGAAGTTGGTGATGTGCTAATATTAATTGCTATCTACTTAGGGGACCTTGGTTCAACTGCAGCAGAGGTCGAAAAAGCCTTGGAAACCAACTTCTCACTTGCAAACAGATGGGGTTGTATTCTGCTCCTTGATGAGGCTGACGTGTTTCTTTCGGCAAGATCCCCGACGGATTTTACGAGAAACGGGCTTGTTGCAGGTTTGAAAACCTTAGCCATATCCCATCATCGGTTGCTGATCGTTCCTCCAGTATTCCTCCGTGTTCTGGAATATTATGCTGGCATTCTATTCCTAACCACAAATCGGATCGGTGACTTTGATGAAGCATTCGCATCACGTATTCATATCAGTCTTTACTACCCACCACTCGATCTCAGCTCGACCAAGGAGGTATTTAAACTCAACTTGAAAATGATCAGAGAGCGCCTTGGACAGAAGGGACGAAAACTGGATCTGGACGACAAAAGCATACTGAATTTCGCTGACGAATGGTGGAACCAACAAGTGGACGCAAGATGGAATGGGCGGCAAATCAGAAATGCTTGCCAAACTGCACTGGCACTGGCGGAGTTCGAGGCAAAAAGCGACGAATCCGCTGAAATCAGACTTTCGAAAGACCATTTGAGGACTGTTGCTTATTCCTATCTCGAGTTCATGAGTTATCTGAAAGATCTCTATGGTACCGGAGCCGACCAACGCGCCAAAGAATCCGGACTTCGGGCAAGTGTTACTCCAAAACAGCTCAAGGACTTTTCCACCCGGATGGACCCTTCGAAAACATACAGTCAGACACCAAGAATGCCTCGAGGCGACCCTTATAGGGTCCAGAACTACCCTACGTATCCTGCACAGCCACCTGAGCATACGTACGGGCCCCCCTTAGGTACCTGGGACTATCAAAGCGACCACCCCCCTCAATACCCTCCAGTCGTGGTACCTCTCCGACAGGCGTCACAGGCCCGACCCATGGATGCGCGTCCGTTGACTCCCGACAGACGGGATTTAAGGCAAAATGCGCCACAGTATCCCCCTCCAAACCATCCTGATCCTTACCAAAACCCGTATGTCAGCAACTACAACGGACAGCCGCAAATGAGCGGAGATTAATACTATCAAGAGATGCCTCCTCCCAGGCCGATGAATCATCCACCTTTGTCCCCTGGACAAGAAAACCTTCACGGTGGGCGAAACAGAGAATAGCATGATTCGACAAAATTCGTCACGTCTCTCTGAGCATGACAACATTAGAGGAGAAAGCCCACAATAACCACACTATCTTCTTGAAAGAGCTTTAGCAATGCATCATAACTCAAATCTCTCGTCCACGTGGAACAAATGTTTTCTAAACCAATGCAATGCCGTTACAAACAATCTTCGCGACCGACCACGCACAAACTTTGTTTCCGGCGAACATGTAATACCCCGCAACAGACGACTGCGGCGGAACAGAAGACCGTGCGTCGAAGAAAGCGTGTCGTATTGCGGGGCGTTTTGCAGCGGCTACGAGTTTCTGTGTCGACACAGGTTTCTGCGCCGGGTAGCTTGTGCGCAACGCTACGGCGCGCCGGTTTAGGCACACCCGCAGTGGTGCACTACGGCCGACGGAGCGGCGCTTTGCGCTGAACTCCCGTGCCGGTCGCCGGGCGCCACAATGGTCTGCGTTATCACCAACTTCAAACTCGCGTGGGTGGAAGGACTGGAGACTCTGATATTCCTCCGGTTACCTGGGAAGTAGTATGCTTTGCGAAGTAATATGCAGAGATACAGTTCTTGCTTTGAAGGATCGCCGCTTTTTGTTGCGACTTGCTCCTCGTGATGTGCTCCCTCGCAGGGCTTCGGGGAAACAATTCCTTCTCTAAACATTGTTTGGCGTGCGGCCTTGTCAATGGGATTTCGTGGCTCGCGATGGGCGAAACACCATGTGGCGTGTCACTATCCTGATCTTGCATACAAAGTCATGGCGTTCGTGTAGACGCGATGCCAGAATAATGAAGGTAATGTAAGCTTCTGATGATAAATAAGCTAAAACCCTGCACCCGATACGGGCTTATTGTAGCTTGTGCTGCGAGTATTGGCGTTACTGTGTGGCAGTGTTTTGTTAGTGCGTCGGATTATTAGATCGGTAAACCTCTTTCGCTCCGCGTTTAACTCACGTGAATACTAGCGCTCTAAGCCGAAAGCTTACGCGTTCTCATTGCCGACAGGAGAATATTTCGGGATAAGCTTTTGCGAAGAGCTGCGGTGAATCCGTGGTTAATCCTACTCAACTCCGCAGAGATCGGCAACACAGCGACCCGGCAAACTGCCAGTGCCGCTTATACTAATCCTTACACTACACCGTCTGCCTCTACATCTTCTTTTTGCATAAGCACCGCCCCTTCCTGCTTCTTCTCCGCGTTGCGGGCTTGTCCAGCTGCGTATCTTTCATGCATGCCTGGATTTCGCTGTCTCGCTGCGCAGCACTTAGGTTTCTCTGAATTGGAGGAAGCTTAAATATCCTACTTATATTTGCGTTCTCTCATGCAGCACCTTCAGCATTAGTAAGAGCAGGGGTTTTTGATTGGTTCTTTGCCTTCCCTGCTTATAGGAGTGGGGGAAATGCAGATAGTGCTATGAAGGTGACGAATTTGCCTCACCAGTCTCGCTCGCAATAAAATGTGTGCTATAAATAAAGCGTTGGTTTAGTCGTGAACGTAGGATCGCCCGGCTTAAGCTTCCCCGCAATTTTATGCGGCCCTACCGATTCGTACAACATGTATAGAATATCGAATATCTAAAGTAGACGGAGCTCCGCGGTACTTAGAAGCGTTACGTAGGATTTACTAGTAAATAATATAGTTTTGTCAGCCAGAATCACTCCGATAACTCTCGTTTATCAGCCTTATTATTTAGTTGTTACACAACAGCCTTACCCCTGCACTACTCATTTACCACTACTAAAGAGAAAACGTGTTCTTTTAGATAGCAG